TTTTCTAGGTCGAAGTTCTGCATTATGGCGCACACTGTATATTTCGTACGTTCGCCCACACATAGAACTCGCAGTATAGGCCACCGTTTTTAGCTCAAGACATTGCCAAACTTGAGCAAGTTCAACACCGAGCCACAAAACATGTTGTCTTTCTTAAACACCTATCGTATACTCAAAGACTATCAAGCCTTAACTTAACAACACTAACTGAACGACGAGAAAAAGGACACCTTATCAAACAATATAAAATCATGAGCAAAATTGATAAAGTTAACTTTCACGCCCCTCAACTTCAATCTAACACGAAATCTTCAAAGTACAGTTTTTGGCCGCGTGGACACACTAAAGAACTAAGAGCACAACTTGTCCGAAATTGCCTTTTTTCGTTTTACTTTTTATTTTTTTGTCTTTTTATCTGGACAAACTTTTTTTTATCAAAACTAGTTTAAAAAACAAGCATATCTGACCATTTCCCTATCTTTTTAACCATTAACTTCAACTCTAAAATAATGACTAAAACAAACATAAAAGTTAGATTACGTAACTATAACCAAACAAACGTTGAGCAATTTAAAACACAATTATCATTGTTCCATTGGAAGAACATCGACTTTAGTGATAATGCAAACAACATTTACGATAATTTCTTTAATACATTTTACTCTGTTTATGATGCTAATTTTCCTTTATATGAAAAAACAATAAATCAAAAAAACATTAATTCTCCCTGGATTACCAAAGGTTTAAAAAAATCATCAAAAATTAAGCAGAACTCATACGTAAAATATCTAAAAAACAAATCATTAGCCAATGAGAAAATATACAAAGACTACAAAAAAATTTTTTAAAAAAGTTCGAAAAAAATTAAAAAAACATTACTATTCTAAAATTCTCAATAATGCAAAAAATAATTGTAAACGCTCCTGGGAAATAATAAAAGAAATTACCGGTATATCAAAATTATGCTCAGGTTCCCTGCCACACATGATCAAAGTGAATAATAATAATAATAATATAATAATAATAATTTTCAAACAATAGCTCACGAATTTAATAAATTCTTTGTTGAAATCGGCCCTAAACTATCTAAATTCAAAAGCCTTATTTAAAGATTTCTTAGTACCGATGGATAATTGCATTCACTCATATGAGTTATCTAAAGAGTTATTATTTATTGAGTTCGAAAAAGCCTTCAAAACACTAAAGAAAATAAAGCAGTTCAGGGCCGTACCGTGAAATTTTTTAGGGGAGGGGGTCGTTTAAAAAAAAAAAAAGGCAGTTTTAAAACATCAAACGATTATCTTAATAAATTTACTTAATAAAATTTTCGTGAAACATAGCTATATTTGTGTAACCAATGTTTACATAAACGAATTTATTGTTCTCCGAATATTTTTTTATTTTTTATACTGCATAGGCGTATAATCAAGTTCCTTGTTAAAAAATGGAATCGATACATAGAATAATAATACTTTGATAAATGGTTTAAATTTTTATTCAAAAACTAAACTTCTTTCATACAATTTTCTAGGATGTAAAGTAAAATATAATTTTGAGACTTGTTTATAATCAACAATTTCATTGTAGTGAATATTCATGATGGCTAATGAACCAAGTTTATCTGCAGTCATACTGGCTCTCAACCATGTTCTTAATCTTCGCATTGCAGAGAAGCTGCGTTCACATTCTACGGACGTAACGGGTACATGTATAGTGTACATCTAATCTTTAGAAGCTCAAAGAGATTAGGATATTGATTTTCATCGCAGATTTTAATGGCTTTAGCTAGAGTATTAGGCCTCGGGTTTAATAACAGACCATTTTCTTTTCCAAAACATGAATTCTTGATCTACAGCTTCTAAGTTTGGAAGATCACTTTTATATGTTTTAACTAACTCCTGGAAAGCAGTTATCTCGTCACTGCAAATTATCGTGGGAACCAAGCATAAAACCTTAGCAGCAATGCAATTTGTCTTTGAAATCGTATTTTGATTTCTGAAATGATAGTGTCGAGAAAAGGTACAATCAAGGCCCGTTTATAATATTCATGGGGACTCTCTGCAGATGCGTTATTTCTGTAGCCCTGTCTCATAGTGATTCTGGGAATCGTTGGTTCTACAAATAATTTACTTGCCATACAAGTAGCTTGTTGGTAAATTGCGTAAATTTCTTTTTCAACATTTTTCCGTAGATGGTTCAAATCGTCAATTGTTTCTTGAATGTTACTGTATGCATACACAATATCAATTGTGCGAACTTGTAACCTCTCTGTTATATACGATAACGGGTGAAGTAAGCGGTACAAAGTTGTAATACCAATTATAAATTCGAACTTAGTGAGTGCATTAAGAAGTGAGTTGGCTTCTCTTTTTCATTGTGCGTCCCAATCCATACTAAACTCTATATTGAACTGTTCTATATTAGAGTGTATTCCTAAAATAATCTCTAATGCCTCTGCCATAAATGTTATAGCTAAATAAAAGTGTTCATATGCGGCATCTCTTTCTGACCATCTTGTTTTGCACATCCCTATCAAAATCTTTTTTCTTTCAGTTGATTTACAGCGGATCTCAGCAACATGCTCCAGCAAGCGCTTTCTTTTCGGAGAGGTATTGAAATAAATGGATATATTACTGTGTACCTTCAAAATGTTATCAATGATTTGTATTTTTGAGGTTGCAGCAATTGATAAATTCAAATTATGTAAGTTACAATGTGTTACAATTGCTTTTGGTGATCCTTTAAAAATGTGATTGGCAACACCTTTTTTTACAGATTGCATGTTTGGTGCGCCATCGAAACACTGGCCTCTACAAGCACTAAGATCAATTCCACTTTCGCTATAAAATTTCATCAAGCTTTTTCCAATGTGTTTCCCTGTTATCCTGTCAAGATTCAAAAAGTCAAGAAATACTTCTCTAATTTCTTTTTTCTCCGTTTACGTATCTCATACATACTGACAGAATTTGTTGGTTTGCAGTTGTTAACTCGTCTGCTGATATTGAATGGTAATTTGCAGCTTTAATTTCATTAATTAGCCGCTCTTGTATACATTTTTTTCCAATTATATCAATTAATTCATTTTGGCTCTTGGGGCCAAGGTAACTGACATCTTTGCGTAGTAACAAGTAATAACAAAAGTACTATCATTAAAAAATTTAGCGTGTAGATAGTATCTATATCTAGTTAATATCTATATTTAGTTAATATTAAACTAATCAAACTAATTATTATAAAAAGAAGATCAAAATAACTTTTTTACTAAAAATATCCAGCTAACGATTTGCATTTCTTTGCAGCATTTTGAAGCTCTTTTCTATCAGCTGCTCGTTTTCTAATTTGGTTAGGTATGTTAACTTTATCGTTTGCTTTTAAAAGTGAATTAGTAGAGAATTGTAATTACAGTAATTGTACAATTACAACAATCAGTTTGGCTTTGAAAAGAATAACTCAACTGAGCATGCAATTATTCAGTTGGTTCGTGAAATCTTTAATTCTTTTGAAAAATCTCAATTCACATTAGGAATTTTTATCTATCTTTCAAAAGCATTTGATACTGTTGATCCTGATATTTTGCTTTATAAACTTAATTATTACGGAATAAATGAAAGAGTAATTAAATGATTTCAAAGTTGCTTATCGAACAGAAAACAATTTGTTTCTTGTAATGAACTTAATTATAAACAGTTTTTAAATGTTTCCTGTGGTGTTCCGCAAGTTTCTATCTTAGGCCCTCTTTTGTTTCTAATATATATCAACGACTTGCATAAAGCATCAAATCTTCTAAGTATTGTGTTAGCTGATGACACAAACTTATTTCTCTCTAACAGTGACATCTATCTACTTTTTTCCATTAAGAACAAACAACTTCAAAACATATCTAAATGGTTTAAAAGTAACAAATTAACATTAAATATAAGCAAAACAAAATGGATGGTTCGCACATTCTTCAATATTTTTTAATCAAATAAAAATCCTCAAAATATATAAACTAAACGTATATAAAAATTTATCTTTTGTTTATATGTGGAAGTATAGTTTATCTCCTTTAATTTTCAAAGATCTTCTTATTTTACAACTATTAAGCAAGTTTAACATAGGGAATAATAATTATTTAAATGAACCATTCTTTCGAACAAAATTCAATCAATTTTGTATCACTTATCGTGCAGCTCATCTCTGGAACAAAATTATTTTGCCTAACTTCGATTTACCCCTAACTTATCCTGTTTTTAAAAATAAATTTAAAGACCTCATTCTTTCTATTGAAAATATTTTTAATTTATCTTGTGACAAAAATAAAAAAAAATTTTATTGTCATGTATGTTCAAGTTTTGTTTTATACTTGTTTACAATTTATTTTCATTTATCTAAATACGATTTATTGTTTTATATGATTTTTTACGTACTCTTATTGTAAAAAGGCGTTTTTATAACATTTTACGTACTCTTTTGTATTATTTATTTATTCAAAAAAATGCTTATTTTGAATAAATAATTTAACAAATTACCCTCAGCCGCAGGACCTAGAGATCGTCAATCACTAATTAAATTTACCCTCAGCCGCAGGACATAGAGATCGGCGATCACCAATCAAAATTACCCTCAGCCTCAGGACGTAAAGATCGTCAATCACTAATCAAATTTACCCTCAGCCTGAATTGAATTAATTTAAACGTCGAAATAGATAAAAAAAAGGCTTTAAAAAAAACTATTTACGTGCAGTTTAGCAAACTTTAAATCGGTTCTAATAATAATAAGTATTGTTATGATTAGAAATTTTTAATTTAAAACCTATTTAAAAACAATATTGACAAGTTTGTTTGAATTCATCTTTGCTTGTCAATTTAAGAAAACATTTTCATATGGGTAAAAATAGAAGCGTACTTTTAGAGTCATATTTAGTTTTTTTTGCAACATAATAGCTGACTATTTTTTTACATCTTATACGTAAGTGTCTATAACAAGTTGTTTTTAAAAATTCTACACTTTATTTTCAGAGTTTTGCTGGTTGCTGTGGCGTTTTGGGGTGCCTTTATGGTTATCAGTGATATAAATGAATTCTCTTGTTTGAAGCCCACGTAAGTTTTTTTTGCAATTTAAAGAATGTTTTAAATGTAAAATTACATTGATTTTTGCGTCAGTGTTTCAAGAAGAAACTTCTTAATTGATATCTACGTGTTTAAAATTTTATTGTAAATCCAATGTTTCAAGGACGGTTCTCGAATTTTAACAGGAATATTTTCGTAAAATTAATCAGATAAAACTTAAAAAAATACCACTTCCTTTCAAACTTCTTCCCAGAAACAAGAAAAATGAAGGATTCAAATTAAATAATCTTTCAACTGTGAAGTAAAAAATAAATGTTTTAAAAACAACTTTTATTATAATTATTTTATTATAAACTTTTATTATATATTTTCTCAATAAATTAAAAAAGATTTTTAAAAATTAAATGTTACTTCCTTAAAAAAGAACCCGAAAGAAATTAGGCTAATAATGACTATCTTAGCATATTTTTCTGTACATTTTAAAACTTATTTAAACATTACAATCAACATTTTAAGCGTACTTTCGGGTTCTTTTTTAAGGAAGTAACGTGGCTCCTTTTAAAGGGAGTCTCTTTTTATGTATTAAGCCATTTTATAGCTGTGTATTAAGTCTTAACATACTTTTTTTTCTAAACACATTAGCTCACTTTGGGATTAACGTGAGCCATAAATGTAGGCATAATTCCGAACAAATTAGACAATTTTAAATTATAATAATTTTGGGGAATCACTTTGAAGTTTTCATTTATTTGTATTTTTTTTCAAATATTCATGTGTTTAAAATTTTCTAGAAATACTTATTTATGACCCAAAATTCAAGTCTTCAAGTTAATTGTTTACAGAAACCTCTTTAAAATTGACGGTGTTTGATAGTTGTTAGAGTCAGAGTTGTAAATACACGCCAGGATTGTTATACACTCGTAAAAAACGGGTGTATAACAACCCTCTCCCCAAAATAACTAGTTTTCTTTAAGCTAGTCATCGAAAATCTACCTTAATTAGAAAATACGAGAGATCAAGGACTTTTTTTTTTAATTTAAAAAATAATATTATTACGCATCCTTATCAACAACTGTTTGTGCCAGCTCTGGTTGGAGCTTTTTACCGTATGCAGGGTCATATTTTTTTTAGCACCGTAACTTTAACGATTTTTGATCTATTTGCAAATGAACTTTTTATTTTTTTAATTTTCTAACACTTCTTACATTAACTTTTTTTTATAGTCTATATAATGAAAGTAACACCAAGTTGGATATTTTTAATACAATTGTTGAAGTGTGTCTTTCCCTAAAAGAGTTCATTAAAACCACATTTATATACCTCTCAATTGTCTAAGTCTAAAAAAAAAGATTTTTGATTTCAATATACATTTGTAGCATACTAATTTGTAAAATTACTCTGAAGAAAGTATACAATAATCTGACTTTTTTGCATTTCTCTAGTTTTTGGTTCTGCTTTGGTTTTTCGCCAGAATAAAGTTATATCTTTTCACCCGTCCATAAACATTTTTAGAAGCTTCAGATGTGAATTTTACAGCTCTTTCTTCCAAATGAAAATTGTTTGCCAGATCAGTAATTGAGAGTTTATTACCAGTTTGAATGGCTAGTAGTAACTCATTTGATGAAACAAAAACTGAAGTAAGAGGCTCAATCTGTATCGAAGAAACCTCAATTAAGTCTGTCCATACGTCAGCTTTGAAGTTCAAGGGCATAATTATCTTAGCTTTGATTTTAAGCTTGAAATTTGGATCATTATCCCTGGATAATCAAACCTGAAGACTTTGATTAAGAGCACGATCTCTTAGAACTTTTTCATCATTTAGCAGCATTACATAAAGCAAAGTTTTCTTGATAGCAGCAGTAAGAATTACCCTAAAGATTTTTCAATACAGTCTTTTAAATTCTGCTATCTTGTTTATTGGCTAACTGTATTGTTTTATGAAGAAGCTTTGGTGCATCTTTGTAATGCTGTGAACATTTTGCAGCAAACCACATACGACATTAAACCTGGATGATGTACTTTTTGATGCAGTTTAAATCGTGCGTGGGCAGTGCCGCCGAGAGGGGGAGTCGCGAGGGACAGTTTGTCGCAGGCGGCAGATACTTAAGGGGCGCCAAATGAAATGTAGGTACCTAAAAAAAAATAATAAGGTCCTTCATATATAATATATAGGGAAATTTTGATAATAAAGGCGCCAATCAGGAATAATGTCTTAAATTAATTAGTAATTCTTAAAGCAATTCAATAAGCCACCGTGCATGGAAAACTGGGCCAGGTTTCTTGTTAGCATATTTTGTAGAAACGAAACCTTTAGCTATTCCAATACTATACTCATAAAGTTTGCGTTGGTCGGTATTCAGAATCTATGGGAATACAATCTCAGAATCTATAAGAACAAATTGAATTAAAGGTTGTTTATGCATTAGTATGTTAGATGCTTGCTTACCAATTGGGCCTTTATACTTTTTAGGGTCATTAGTTTTTCCATCTATTTCAGATATAACATGGCAAAGTGGTTGTTAACACTGGTGAAGCAAACAACATACTAAATGAATGCTAAGTTTCAAAAGCTTTTTTAACTGGACAACTAAACCATTATCTACATCAATGTTAGAACATGAGTTGTCAAAAAAAATTGCTTCTAAACTTTCAACACTACCATATTCATTTACGACATTTAATGTTGCTGAAGCCATTGTACATCCTTTACCATTTTCTATTATAACATGGGTCAGATAATTACCAGAAAAAAAGTCATTTTCACAAGTAAAAGTGAGATGATGTTCGTCTTTGATTGTTTGATATAAGACAGGGTCCCCATTATTCTTGTATTTCATCGCATGAACAAATTAATTTTAGTCTTTTTTTCCATCCGTACCAATTACTTTCAGTTATAAAACTTCTCGATGGTGCTTAGATGCAATCAATTTAGCCATTCGTGCTTTTTCACAAAATACCATATATTCAGTTATTATCTGAGATTTTTTATTATCAGTCACTATTCCATAGTCTATTAACGCAGCTGTTGCTATTGCAGCTGTAGCAGCGTCACTAACTTCATATCTTATTGCAGTCTTAGCCAAATTAGTTAAGTCTGCGTAGTTTCTTTCATTAATTATATGCCCTTCAAACTAATCGCTTTTAGCTGTATCTAAATTTGATGATTCAACACTATAACTATCATCTGAACCAGATTCCGATGGTGTTTGAAGATTTTCCTGTCTAAATTGCTTTCCAGTGGTCTCTTTTTTTTCTCTAACAAACTTTTTTGCAACCCTTGTTGCCTCTACGTGGTCCACATTGCCGAACTGCCAACTTCTTTTTGGTCCTATTTTGGATACTTAAATATTCTCTTTCCAGTACAGGGATTTAAAACAAGATATTTTAATTTAAAGTGACAAGTTAATAGAATATAAAGCCTTGGTCAAATGATTAGAGATAAGCAATTGATGCTCTTTTCTTTTACCTAACCTACCATTTTTGTGAAGTGTATCTGTTAATGTTAATACTTATAAAATAAAATAAAACTGTATGTATTACCTTACTACTTTCCTCACAAAGACAAACTATGTGTTTCACTGTGCAATCACTTTTACGACATCCAATTCGCCTAAATATTTATTATTTTAGTTTTAAATCAAAATCATTCAAAAAGTATTTATTACATTGGTTACAACAAATCTTATAAAGGTAGGATGGGGTGGGGATGTTGATTTGGTAGTGGATTTTTATCTATTTTTATAAAATCCTTAATATTTAGAATTATAAAAAATTGTGATGAAATATTTAAGAATTTGTAATAAAAAGATTTAAAATTATACTTACCTATCTTTACAAACTTCAATAATTGGAAGATTGCACTGACAAGCAGACAGATCAAACAACGTTTCCAATTTCTTTTCTAGCCAGCAAACACTAAACCTATTGTTTCTAGTTTTAATCCGCTATGGAGTTAAGAATTTTTGAAACACTCTACAAATTTTATTTTTCAATGGTTTATCTTGCATTAAAGGGAGATTTTGATTAACTCTATACCAAAGCTTTTGCAAGTCACTACTGACTTTAGTCACGATTGATACAACTGAGTCAATTTTTTGTCCGTTAAATAAATCTTTCTCAATCTTGTAACCGTATTGAATAAGCTGTTTGTAAGTTGGAAGATCGCTCACTGGTAAGTCAGAGGGTTTTCCAGCAAATCTTTTACTATTAATACGAGTTTTGTTAAAAGTCTCTGTAGGTCTTCCAAGCTTTTTTGAGCTCATGTTGGTATCACAATATGAATTTACTATGTAATTATAAAATAAAGAAGATACTTTTCAATTAAACTTACTAAAATAAAATATATTTTGGAAATTTACACAAAGTATAAACAACTAATATTAACATAAATCCATGTACAAGCATGGTATAAACAACTCAAAACATTATTACCGCGATCAGATTATATATAATCTGATCGCGGTAATAATGTTTTTAGTTGTTTATATAAAGGAATTAACTAATAAACATTATTTCTATAGAAATAATGTTTATTAGTTAATTCCTTTAAGTTACACCGTTTTTCACCACTGCAATGGCCAATGGTATGAATTACATAACAGGCACAAACGATGAAAAAAAAGTAGTCAACACATAATATGCTATTTAAAATAAGTAAATTATCTTGTTTGTAAGTGCATACATATAACGTACCGAAATAGTTTTTTATTGATCGACCGTAAAGCACTATAGTTTTTAATAAATTTGCCAATATACCAAAAACCGCCCTAAGAGTGTTATTTTATTTCGGACCTTAAGTGACTTCATTGTGAAAAATGCACGTTTTTAATTTGTATTTCCAATAAAGATTTAGGATTTTTTCAAATTTTTTTAATCTAATTCTAAACTTTATTTAAAGTTAATTTTTACAAGATAGTTTTAATTGAAAAATTTTGCAAACAAAATTATTGCCATACCAATTTTTGATATGTTTTTTGAACACCTCAAGACTTTCTGTGGACATGGTCTTGTTATTTAGAGTGTTTTAGAGCGAGGTAGCTCTATATAACATACAGCATGTATCATTATACATGGAGCCTTTAGGAGGTAGAATCAATTTTTTGCAGCTTAGAAATTTATACATAAAATTTTTTATAATAAAATTTTTTTTCATAAATATTTGATTTAGACAATCAATAGATTTAAAAGTTTCCATTCTAAGAAATCTCAAATTTCTCAGATGGATTCTTTGACTTTTCAAATTTTATCAAAATTTAATAATTCATCAAGAGACAAATCAAATCTTTTATAGACTATACTTATGTTTATGAATTTTAATTATTTGTTTGTCATCTTTTTTTGAACAAAACATCCAAATTAGAGGACAATAAGAAGATTTATCACGGGATAAAAAATTTCTCATGCGTGAAAGAGCAAAACATTTATCATTAGCTTTACTGCATAATTGTTTAATTTGTTAAACAATTATGTAGTAAAAAGTTTAGATCTTTACCAATTGTATTATCAAGTAGTCTTACCTTGTCGAAGGCAAAAACCCTTATATTACCTATTTTTAACGATAGATTATTTGTGTTTTTTAAGCCAACTAAAAGAAATTAGAACTTATCTGGGTTAGCATTCATCGAGTTTAACTGAAACCAATTGTTGGTATTGTTTGCTTCTTTATTCAAACAAAAAATACCCTTCTTAAAACTATAATCACAAGCATAAATTGTGTTATCATCAGCAAAATTACAAAGTTCCGTATTTTTAATTAACAAAAATAAATCATTTATAAAGGTATTGTACAAAATAGGTCCAAGGATTGACCCTTGAGGCACTCCAGATAATATATTCACCCAATTTGAAGCAGAAGACACTATTTTTACCCTTTGTTTACTGCCACAAATATAAGATAGCAAAAGATTAAGATTATTTTTAGAAAAACCAATGGCGTCATATTTCATAATGGCGTCTAATTTAGCAATTAGTTAGTCATACGGGATATAGTTGTAAGCCTATTAATACATTCATACAACCAATAAATCAAAACTATGATTTGGATGCCATTTTTTAAATTTAAACGCAAAGGAAGCCATTCAACCATTGACGTCTATTGTAACAAATTTATATAAACTATTACGGTATCTATAACTATCTTGCTGGTATCTATAACCTAGCAAAAATTTCTGGAATTATAAAATTTCTTTTATATTTATTTAATCTTTTTTCCCCTTTCTCCACAACTCCCACTAAATCTGTGCGGACCACTTTTTTGGTTTTAATATAGTATTTTTATACCATGTTAAATGTTTTAGCTGTAAAAATAAGTTAAAGATTATTTTAAAAAAGATTTTAAAATTTATATCTAGAAAGAAGACGCAATGCACTCCTGTAGACAACGTAATATTTCTAAAAACACACAAAACGGGTTCAACAACAATCGCAAACGTTATGTACAGATATTCAAAATCAAATCGTTTAAAAGTAGCATTACCGGGGTGCGATCACAGGTTTTGTTTTCCATATAAGTTTACAGAGAACTTTCTTTACAATCACAAAGTAAACGACACGTACAACATGCTATTTCATCACGCAGTTTTTCACAAACAAAATATGATTAAAATATTGGATAAAGGTAATACAAAAATTGTAACCATTTTGAGGGAACCCTATTCGCAATTCGACTCAGCTGCACAATATTTTAATTTTAAAATAAACTACAAATTAAGTGGAAAATTACCTGTTCTCGATGATCTTTTTAAAATGTCTGACGAAGATTTAACAGCATATATAAAATCTCAGAAAGTCGATGGTTACGGTGCTTACTCCTTAACTAAAAATCCAAACGCGTTTGATATGGGGTTTGATCCATGGAATGAAACAAGTGAATATATCAAAACCGTTTTAAAAACAATTGAAGAGGATTTCAATCTAGTAATGATAACAGAGTATATGGCAGAGTCGTTAGTTCTGCTAAAAAACGAGCTCTGTTGGGATTTCAAAGATATAGTGTTTTTTCATCACAATGCTAGGTTGACAAAAGAGATAAACACTAACTATGTTCAGAACATTAAACAACGTGTTTTAAATTGGAACAAGCTTGATGTCGCCATTTACAACTATTTTAACAAAACTTTTTGGGAAAAAATAAAATACAGCGACAACAGTTTTATATCAGATGTTGAAAAACTGAAAAAATTTAACCATTTATTGCAACAAGAATGTACTACGGTGCTGAACAACGCGACAGTTACTCCAAACGCCAACTTGTTACTATCAGACTTTAAAATAGCGCAAAAGTTCGAAGATTTTTGTTCTGATTTACTAATTGAGGAAATTCTTTTTACAAATGTTTTAAAAAAAGCAAAAGATGAAAACTTATGAGAAGCCTTTCATTAAAATTTTTCGATTAATTGGGTAAGAAATCAAATGCAGCAATTAAAAAAACTTATTGCAAGAAAAATAGCTGCTTTACAGCAAACCTTATTAATAAACTTTATCAAAAGCTATTTTATCAGCAAGGTTAAATTATGTTTTATTCTAACCAAGTTTAGACTTTTTTGCAAATTATGAAACCTTTATTTTATGTTATTTTTATGACGTATGAAAGACACTGTAAATGATATTTCTATATTTTAATTTTTCATATTTTTTACTCCTTTTACATACAATTAAAAAAATTAATATAATTTGAAAAAATAAATATGTATTTACACTATTTTATTTACAAGTTTTATCTCTAAATTAACAATGTTTGAAAACCAAACAATTAAATTTGACTTTTTTGCGCACAGTAATCCATCTTGCCATAATATATTTTAAATAATTGCTGATAAGAAGGATGCGTAATACTAAAAAAAATATTTAAAAATGAGACTTGAAGAGTGATTTTATTAGGTTTAGGGGGAAGTTAGGCGAAATTTAACTTGAAAACTTTTTTAAAAACATCATTTTATATGAATATTAACTTAAAAAGTGAAAAAAAAAATTAAAACTACGAGAAAGGTGCCGATGACGACGATGATGGCATATTAACTTTGAAGCCTCATTATTCAGTAGATTCTGAAGATTGAAAATAAATTTTAATTTGGATGCATTCTATATAAAATGTAAAACACTAATGAATCTCGGAATTTTGAATTGTTTTGCTGTTTCTCTAAGTTACATATTCAAAAAAATGTACATGTATGCCATTATAAGCAACCAACAGGTCCTAAGATGGCATAGGGTAGGCCGGGGCTAGTTAGCATCAAGGATAAAGTTGACGATTTCCTTTAGTATCAGAGCTTCCCAACAGGAATACCAGAAATTTTTTTCCTAATTAAGCGTTTCATCGCTTCCTTTTTACGTTACTAACAAATTATTTTGTCTTATGAAAAAAATAAAATTTCTCAAAATATTTTTGGCGGTGAAAATTGCAATATTTTTTATTAAATCACTTGAAAGTGTAATAATAATTAAAGAACAACAATTAAAATCGTTTAAAGCACATGCTTGTTGAAAAGACTTACCAGACATCATAGTTAATGTCATTTTCTTTTAAGCAAGCTGTGGCTGCCTTGTTAAAAAATTAATAATAATAATAATAATAATAATAAAATAAGTACTCCAAATATATAAATGGATTAAAATTACATCACCAATATCTCAAAACTAATGTTGGTTAATTATAAAAGCAATATTTGTACAAAAGGTACGTATTTTTATTAAAAGTAATGTAAAGCCAATATACAAATATAGAACTAATATTTTTATTAATATTTAACAGTATGCCATCATTAGGGCCATGCCATCCTAGGCACCTTTCCCCGAATTATCTACGACAAAACTTTAACAAAACTTTACTATTATCTTTTTAATATTTAATAAACCAAGTCTAACTAACACTAATTGTAATATATGAATCAAAAAAATCAAAAAAATGGAAGAACAACCGTGCGATTGTTTAAAAACCGTAAGTCGAAACACTTAATTTTGAAATCAGAGCCTACTTATATGCGGTTGCAGACATAAAAATAAATATTTTTATGAAAAATGTTTTTAATCTGACGTTAATTCAACAAAAAAAACTATTTTTAGGCATTATTTCTTTATTTACAGTTATTCAGTATGGTTTATTGAGCATTTAGCTAAGTACTTCTAAATTGTTGAAAGTATAATCATTTGTTTGTTAAAATAATATGAGAAACCAATTTCTCAAATATTTTTCAAATTCACTTGGAAGAAGGTAATATTGTATTGTTGCTTTAACAATACAATATTACCTTCTAAGCTTCGTATTTTATTTTGTAAAAAAGGTAATATGAAGTGAAATAGAGATAAATAAAAAAAGGTCCAAAGTTTAAAACTTAAAACTTTGGACCTTTTTTCCCCTAATAGCTGATTTTTAAATGATTATTTTTTTAGAAAAGAACCATTTTTTGACTGTTTACTCAGATGTTTATGAAAAATACTCCCTTGGTTTCTTTAAACCATTGAAATCAAAATTAAATACTCTTTCTAAAAAGCATAAGATACATAGGGGGCACTTCCCTGTTCTAAGATAAATAAAAACACCTAATCTTGGTAAAGAGTTGTAAAACAAGTGACTGAAGCAGCAGTTGCATTTTATGCCTTTCAGAGAAAAGAAAAAGATATAAAGAATAGAATAAAGAAAGTAATTCCTAATTTACTGAGCTTTTCATTTCTGCAAAAACCAATTCCTAATTTACTGAGATATTTATTTCTGTAAAAACTGTTTCATATGACGAGTAACAACTTTATTTATTTTATAAAACTATGTTGCCTGGTCTTTTTAAACAAGCATGTGTATTTTCAAGTGATTTAATAAAAAACATTGCTACATATTTTTTATACATATTTTTACAAAAATATATTTTTTGGGATAAATGTTGAAATATCTACCACGTGACAAATCACTCCTCAGATTATTTTTTTTAAATTTATTTTGAATTTATTAAAAGCCTGA